GGCCCAGTCCATATTTCAAGAGACTTGTCAGGCGTGAAGGATCAGGATCATGCTCAGAGGATTTATTGCTCAAGCCGCCACAGAAAAATCTAGTCAACTAACATACAAATACCAAATCGGCATCTGATTAGGGTTAACAGAGTTCAAGAGGGATTGGACTCGAACCATTTCTGGGAGCATAACAACTATAGGCTGATGACTCACTTAACTCCGCCCTCCAGTTCTGCCTACTCTTCTCCTACATGAACACTGATACAGTACACAAGTAGAGGGGAAGGCTAAGAACCTCCTTAGGGGAGCACACAAGTAAGCAAGATGGAACAGGCTATGCCTCTGAATAAAGTAAATGTTAGAACTGCCAAAAGATCAAAATATTTTACTTGAATTATTTGCGCCTTAATGAATTTGCTACATTGCATGTTAACGCGGATTTTTTTCTGAGACCTTATTTCAATAAACACTGATTACTTGTTATCACAAGAAAAAAGTATAATATATAGCAGCACATCATTAATTATAATAGCCCAAGGTTTATCATTAAATTGCTGCTCCATCTAATTACAATTGTCCCTGCAAGGTTAACATTAAATTGATTTATTTTTAGGTTACTCCCAGGTAACAGGGCTTTATTGTGCAGGCAACACTACAGTCACAGAATTATACTTGGGGCGCAGATGGTATGGTTTTTGTTACCTTCCTGTGTTTTTCCACATTTTTTTTCTCTCCTCTCTTCTTTTTTGCCATTGAAAATTTATTATGGAGGCAAAAAATTTAAAATTTCATGAGTCTTCCTTATGAAAACAGTCTAGAGCTTGAAATTTAAGACCAAATAAAAGGATTTATTTCATTTATTTATTGCAATAAATTTATTTGTTACATCTAATAAACGTACTGCATTTATTAGATGCATACTGTTATATATTGCTAAATTATTATGCTGACCTTAGATTTTTGAGTTCAGTTTTATATTTCATTGTAAAGTTCTCAAAGGAAACCAATGAAAAATACTGTAGCTTAGAAATTCATGGCAAAAGAAAAAAAATATTGGAAACTGACAATCTAACATAACTTTGATACTGTTTTTTTTGGAAATAATTTTTGCAAGTTATTTTGCAATATAGATTCTGTGAGGAATTATCTGTAAGATAAATTTAGAACACAAGCAGATTTGAAAGTAGAATTTTATATTAACCATACATTGTATTAAGTACTTACTGAGTACACTGTAATTATTTCATGATAAAGAGAGCTGTAAAGCAAATTGCTGGAGGAAATGTTGGAACCCAAGAGTCAAATGAATGATCATTTTCTCAGGTGGTTTAAATCATGAGATCCTGGCATGAGAGAGACTGGTTTTGATTCACTTTCCTGTCCCTTTTAGCTTGAGGTCATCCATTAAAAGTTATCCTTAGTGTGTATATTTATTTGCAAATAAATCCAACCAAAACAACTTTTTTAAAAAATATTCTTTTGTGTCAAATATATTTTTGCTTGCTCTAGCCCTTTTCAAATTGTACAGTATAGAAAAGGACAAAACCTTATTGGGAGTTTCTTGGGAGGTGAAGGGAGATTAAAAATCCAGCCTCTGATCTCTGCATGCCACAAGTCTTCAATTATGCACTCTTCTTGCTGCCAAAATTTCACTGTTATCTTTCAACTGTGGAGTATTAAAAAAGAAAAGAAAAACACCCAACAACTGAGGGAACAGTTCCTTACTTCTCTGCTCCAGTCACAGAACTGCACTGCAGTGCAAATGGCAGAGACCGCAGATCTAGTTTTGTGGCTGAGGCTCAAAGCTTCACATATGCTAAAATGTGACTCAGAGCGCTTTGCTTTGAAGCCTAACCACAGCCAGGGAGCTGTAATTGCTGTCTTTGATTACACCGACTTCACTTGCGGGTTAGGCTTTGCTTGGACTTGCCTGGGTTGGCCAAACTTCAGCTGCAGCCCTCCAGTGGAGCCTTAGATGTGGGAAGTCTTCCGTCTCTGTAGCACATACCTGTGGTGTCTTGAAAGGAATCCTGGCATGACCTGTTTCGTATCTGCTAGGAAACTCCATTATGTTCCTTTAAGGCTCCAATCAGTTTATCGGTAGGAAATGGAAGGATCTCCAATCGTTGTTTTTTTTAACTAGTATTTACTGGAGGCAATGTTGTTCCTGCTGTAATTTTTATTGGGTGAAGGACTTCAATTCACGGACGTAAGCAAGACCACTCTGTAGGCTGCAGAATTTACGTTTAAAGAAGTAAAAAAGCAGAGACGTACATTAAAAGTTGGCGGTACCCTCTTATAAAAGTTAGCACTCACATTTTCAGATGTATGAAAATGGGATCCATTAGGAATAAGGGTAAAATAATCCCATTTCTGAAAAGGGCAGGCTAGAGAAAGACTGGACCTTATTTTAATCTCCCTGCTTCAAAGAAAGGCTTCTGGGAAGAGAAAGGGTGTGGGGACGGGAATCCATCTCAACAGAAGAGCATTTCATTTCCTACAGCAAGGAATAATTTCCCAGCTCTAACGGAGAATTGCTTGTGCCGTGAACTGCTGGCTTGGTGCCTGAAGGCTATTCCTCAACAGGAAACAGAATGTTTTAATGTAAGACTGAAAGGAAAACCTTCCCAGGAAGAGCAACCTGGACCAAACCTTTGAAAATCTGGGATGAAAAGGCCTAAAATAAATATAAATCTGCAGGGTGCTCTCTTTCCAGTGGTTTCTTTGCTTTTTGGCTTGGCCTCTTCTCTGTCCTCCTTGAAAAAGAAAGTCCTTCATAGTTCCCTTTGATCCCCTTCTCTTCTTGGGCATTTTTTTTAAGAAACTGATGAGGCTTTTTAAAATAGTTATAATTTTATGATGAAATTAGAATTAGGCGAGTCAGATCCACACCACTGCAGTTGAATGGGTGGTTTTCTTCCCCAGAGGATACCAGGGTTCTGCTTTTTCAAAGGTTAGGAAGATTTAATGTGAAGAAATAGTAAAATAAAATAAAACCTCTGCAAAATAACCTCCTTGCATTGGTCATATGTTTATATTCATTCACGGTGGTGAATGTGCACAAGGTAAATGGAACTGCAACCTTAAAAACATGATTAGGTTAGCGTTTGTGTCCCTGAACAGTTATTTTCCTGATATATTTATAGTAATGTGCTTCTCCACTTCCTTATCTGGAAAGCGTTTAGTAGAGTAAAAATGTGATGTGAATGGATGCAGTAAACACATTCATGTTAACTCTGTAATATATGATATCCTAAAACTAAATTGTTGGGTTTGGACACGAATTTGAAAGATCAGCTAAGTGACAGTATCTAAATTACTTGGCTAAGTACTCTAGCTTTTATGTAACTAAATTACTTATAATCCTATTTATGTAAAAACATCTGGCTATCCATTCTGGCAAAAGCATGACAGAACCTTGATATATCATTGGAGCCTTTCGTTGGGAATATCATCCATCATAAATGTTTTAACTTGGATTCCTGCATTGGGTAGATAGTTGCATTTGATAGCCAAAATTATCCCTTCTAACTGTTCAGTGATTTGAAATGTTTTCCTAGCAAATGTGTCCAAATTCAGGGATCTGGTGATCTGCATTTGGATCACGAACTAGAATTTACATCATTATTATTTCTTAGGAGGGACTATGTTATGAGATTTTCTTTTAAAAATTAGATTTATTTAGAATTCAGTAGAGTGTGATATTTGTTCATAAAGTTTATAGAGGTTTACTTTTGAACCAACATTGTCTTCTATTGTTAAACATCTGTATATTGTTAACATTAAACATTATATACAATGTATATTTGCTTTGGGATCTAGAGTTCCTAACACTTTTGTTTAGATCTTTGTATATCAGATTGAATTCTAATTTGTTCCATATATAGGAAGTTGTCATTGGACAGTATCTGGATGCAGCTTTCTCATCTTTTGTATAAAGCAGAGTAACTGCCTGGCCAATGTAACCAATGGTCAGGCAAGCTGACAGTTGCAGCCCAAAATGTAAGAGAGGAATGAGGTTGCTCTTTCCCAGCCTTCCTCATGTTGGATTCCCTTCAGATGCATGGATTTCAACTCTTCGAATTTCCAAGCCGGCATGATAATGTTTAGGTTTAAGGCAGTGGTCATCACTGGTGGTCCGCGAGAAAATTTTGGTGATTCACAGAAACATTATTTGCATTTTTTATATTGCACTAAATCAGGGATCCTCAAACTATGCACCCTGGGCCAGATACATACAATGAACATTTGTGTTGCTGCAGAGTCTCCACCTTTGGGGTCTTTTTGTGGGGGTCGGAGGGGAGCAGAAATTCTGACTTAGGGTCTGCTTCAGTCTCCCGGTGCAGAGCTTTGGGCAAAGGCTGGAGGGAAGTGCCGGTGGTGGCAAAGAGCTGGAGAGCCTTGTTCCAGTGGTATTGCATCATGGCCAGGAACTGGCTGACCATCTCAGCCCACTCAGCCTCCAGGTGCTGGTACCTGGCCTTGCACTCCCGCAGATCTTCCCCCTGCTTGAAAGCCTATGTAGAGGTCAGCGAGGCACCCCTTGATGTGACATTGAGTTGGTCACGCCCACCTAGTCACATGACCACCTAGCCACGCCCACCCAGCTGGTCATTAGGCAGATATTAGTGGTCCATGGGATTTAAAATTATGAATTTAGTGGTCCCTGAGGTCTGAAAGATTGGTGATCCCTGGTTTAAGGTAGTGGTCCTCATCCTTTCCTGCTCTGCGGATTGGCAGCAGTGGTGCAGGTAGCAGGGAGAGGATGGTTTTGTGTGCGTGCCCACCCCCTGTGCAAATGGAGCTTCGTGTGCTCATCTGTTGCTTGTGTGGCCCAGTTCCCAATGGGTTGCAGACTGATATCAGGCTGCAGGCCAGAGGTTGGGGACCCTGGTCTAAGGTATTACCTCCATAGTAATTGATGATGATAATTAAACCGAGGAATAATACATAGTAAAGTACCTTGATGTACAATTCTAAAAAATGTTTACTGTATTTGTTCTCTGCAGGTGGGAAGCGACACACGTTCTCAACCTGCAAGATGAAGGCAGCGACATCAGGGCCTCTTCTTGAAATGGAAGCTTGTTAAAATCTCCATGGATGTCCTTCATGTAAACAGGCATATAAGGAGTATGTCTAAGGGTGTCAAGTTTTACCCTGGTGTCCCTGCTAAAGACATTGAACCATAAAGACAATCACTGCCACGTCCCTTCACCCTCACAGAATTCCGAGCCCAACTCAAAAATGAAGAGCCAAGAGTAGCATTTCAGATCTTCCCTTTTTATCTCCACTCCGCCTTACACGCCTCCATTTGTATCTTCTATGTTGTCAGTGATGAGTCAGCAACAAAATAGTTCAGCTGTATTCGTTTTGCTTTAGTCAAAAGAATGCTAGAAAGCAGCAGCAGCAGTGTTGGCTTCCATCTTGGCCGTTCATATCGAAGGAACCAAAACGTAATTTCTTGAGGAAGACATTATCCGGTTTATTTAATGGTGCAAGAGGATGAATCTTGGTTTTCAGATTCTAAAAATATAAACTTGAATGCTTCTATATTTTAGTTATTGCCTTGGTGTACATTTTTATTGACTTTTGAGGTTTTTAAAGAAGCATTGAAATATCCCCGCCCTGACATTTTCTTTTTTCTAATAAATAAAAGGTTTTTAAATAATAGTAGATTTCTTTTTCCTGTTGGAGAAGAACAAAGCATTTGGAGGATAAAGTCTTTTTGTTTTGAATTAACTATTTGTAACAGATGAAATCATTGTATATGTACACGAAACATGTGATCCACTTCATCTCTTTATATGTGTAAAAGGAACATACCTTATCGGATCTGATTTCAGTAAAAACTCCTCTCATATCTGAATTTCCTTGGGTTTTTTTTTAAAGCCCAGCACTTGGATTATTATTACTTCGAATGTTCTGTATTTGTATCTGTTTCTGTTAGCCTGTTTAGTGGGATTTTATGCCAGTTGTTGAAATGAACATTGATGTACCCAAGTTTTTTTTTTTAGTTTAAGGCCTAGCCTTTGCCAAAAAAAAAAGGACAACCAATATATATTTTGTCATTCCAATTTGAGTTAATGTGCTGAGCATTTTTGTTGTTTTCATGTTTTTTTAAAAATAAAGCTTTGTAATAAAACTACAAAATACGTATTTTGGGGGCTTGGTTAAAGTTAAGTTTGGTTCACCTTGTTTCATGTGGCAGCTTCAGTGGAACCAGATGAAGATAATTTGGTGGTGCGTCTACTCTTTGAAAATATGTATATCCACATAGCAGGAAAAAAAAAACACAATCCAAAGTTTTTATAGATGAAAATTATCCTGTTCCTCAACTGAAAGGAGCCCCCATGTCTGCTTATATGAGAAACAGATACACCTAAGGAAAAAATGATGGAAAATTTAGAGCAAAACATCTCTGACACTACACTTAATAATTCTTTTTTTTTAATTCCAGGCAGTCTCCTTCCTTCCAGATCCTGCCCTTTTATTCTTTTTCTCTCCTTTCCTGTTTTCAAAAACTTTTAATTATCCAGAAATTTTTATTATCCCTTTGACTTTTTATTTTCAGCATTAAATGCCTATTGATGTCAAAGTGGATTTTTTTTCCAATTTCTTGCTTAAGTCTCTTAGCTGTCAGTATAGGAAAAGGGGAAAACCAAATCTTTTCCCTTTTCTCTCTCCTTCGCAGCTTAAAAATCTTAGGGAACAATGTTATTGTTTTTTAATAATTTCAATTCCAGGGTACCTTATTTGTTGCTTTTGCTGTTTGACCCGGTCAACCAAAACTTTCTCTCCTTATCTTCCTCCTGCACATTCTTTTCCGGTCGAGTTCTTCTTTGTGGTGGCCATTTCTGACCACCGCTGCAACCGCCTTCGGGAAAGGGAGTAATGGCCAGCTGGGGAGGAGAGATGCGGCTCTCCTCAACCCTGCAGGCAGTCTTCCCCCTCTTCATCACCTCTATGGGGTGGCTTAGCCCCGAAACCAGCCAGCTCGGGGCGCTCCAGCGGTGAGCACGGATCGAAGCCTCACAGAGACGAGGTTTCGGTCTGTCGCTGAAGAAGTTCAAACCGAAGCCCACTTAATAATTCTTAAAAGGCCCGTGGTAACTGAGTAACTGAAGACTGCATTCTTTTTCACTCATGGAAAGACCGTGAACATTCTGCCAGATATGGTCTGTCTTTATGTCCTTGTTTATAATTGATCCAACTTGTAAGTTCTGTTATATGCTGGCCAGTTCTGTGTCATTAGGTAACTTCCACTTTTAAATAAGTTAACCAGACTTCTAGTTTCTCTTGCATATCACCAAGCATTTACATATTAGCAATTTTTTTCAGGGGCCTTCTGGGAGATTATAGAGCAGCATTTCTTATCCTTAGATCTATGGAGATTCTCAATCATAGTTGTCCCAAAGGTGCTTTTCCAAAAGGCATCTGGACTTTCTTGGTTTCTTCTTTGGAAAAATTTCACTTCTCATTCAAGAAGCTTATTTGGAACTGAAGGAGTTTCTTGGATTAGCAGCAAAACATTTTCAATTTTATTGAAAACTTATATTCAAATTTATTCAATTTTTTCCTTTTTTGTTGTTGAACATCTGTGCACAGTACTGAGGACTGCAGGTTGTGACTTAACCTGACAACTCCAGCAATAGATTTAATCTTGATTTATCATTTCTTTAATATGAGCAACTTCCAGGTAGTTGAGCAATACACACTCTTGACCTTAGGAAAGAACATTGCATGGGATATATCTGGTCTTCAACTATACCCAACAGTAGAGCCCCATTCTCTAAACCAGGGATGCCCAATCCCTGGGCCGCAGACTAGTACCTGTCCGCAGCCTGTTGGTAGCTGGGCCATGCAAGTATGTAAAATTTCATTTGCACATGCAAGGGAGCTAGGTTGCGAGCACAAAACTTTCTCTTCCCTGCTACCCCCACCACTTCTGCTGGTCCATGGAGCCAGAAAGGTTGAGGACCGCTGCTCTGAACAATTTCCCTTTATGGCATTGTATTCCTTGCAGTGTCCTGAATGTCCTCAGTGCTTTCCTGTCTGCCATTCTACACACACACACACACACACACACAAAGGATCAAGAGAAATAAATCGGGCAATGTTCTAAGTTGCAACCGGTACTATTTTGAATGCATTTCACCCTAAGATCTAAGCAGCTAATAATATTTTGCTTCAATAAATGAGATTGCTACTTAACAAAATCCCAACAATACTAAGAGAATCATACCAATTCAGTACTTAGTATTTAGCATCATGTCTTGCTTTTTATTTAAGTCAAGATTTTTTTTCAAATTTAAATCCTCATTAAGATACTCCAAGGATTCTGATGGGCACATCAGAACTGAAGGCAGGTTCTCAACCATTAAGGGCAATGCTATTGTTCTGTCCTACTACAGAACATTGTTAATTAGATTTATAAACTGCATTTTTCTCCACAACTGGCAAAACTAGCTTTCCATTTTATCTTTCCACTCACCCCAAAATACTTTGATTTTCCACGGCTGCGGATAGATACAACCTGTTATTTCCTGTTGCTTGTTCATTGACTTAACCACTGCATTGTATTGATTTTTCAATGTCAAAACAATTCCTGCAAGTTACCATTTAGTATTACATTTTAAGGTGGTCTATTTATATTTGTTTAACATGGAAGTTATCTTTTCTCCTGTTTTTTTAAAAAAGTCCCTCCTGCCTTCTTGCTGTTCATATTCTGTAGCAAACTTGTGTTCTATGATGCAGACACAGACATGCAAATTGATTGATATACAAAGGCATAAAAAGAAAAAAAAAAAGAATAAATGGTATATGTGCTGAATCTAGCTATATACTAAAGGAATATAATTTATTACTGAATAAAGTGCTGAAAAGGAAAATGTTAAATTCATATTCTGCTTTTACACTGCCACCTACTGGTGGGGGTGGGGGAATCAAAGCAACTATATTTGAAGTATTTTATTCATATTAAAATTTCTACTAGTTGGATGGAGGATTATAAATCTGAGATGTGTTTAGATCCATGGTAATTTCGAAAAAGGCACTTCAATGTGTAAAGCTCCGAATAAATCCCAGTGATTTAAAATACCATAAGGCTACATTGTGGAAATAAATTGCTTAGCCTTTATAATCAAGATACAGCACTGACTGGTTTTTATGGCCCTGATTAAGCAGTATTACAAATACTGTATGGAAATGCTCAGCAGCTTTCCTTACGCGTGTCAGAAAAACATGGCACATTGGAAAGTTCATTTGTATTTGTAAAATCCTTCACCAGTCTTCTTTCCAAGTTTCTTCTCCTCTACCAACTGATTTAGAACCTGGCTTGGAGCAAAAAGAGGATTTTCCGGTTCCAATGAATGCCATCCTGATTAGAGAGAGGGAAAAACATACAGGCATTAACACCTCAATCTGATAACGTGTCACAGATATTTATATATTTTTCAAACCTTTTCATTCAAAACTAATTACATTTTTTAATAAAGTGATAAAGCTGGCTGCCATACTTGTACGCAAAGCAACAAGAGAATTTCAGTTCAAATATTGCAACCCTTTTAAAGAAGACTATTTTCTAGTTAAGTTAACATTAAGGTAGTTAACTTAATCCTATAGACAACTTAGGAGGTCAAAATAACAAAGTGATCACAAAGGAATTGGATTATTAATCTTTTTTTCTGGGATTTTTACACATAACAAATCTCAGGTTATTCATAATACTCTTAAAAATTGAAGAAGTGGATAAATATTCATAGGGTTCTCATGTTTTTATCTTCTGTTGTATTGGCCAGTCAAGCCTGGCTCTGGCCCTTGCTTTGGTTCCACAGTTATACGTAGAAACAATATCAGAATAGTAAGCAGAGACAAACTGATCACATTTGTTGCATTAGGGCACTGTGTGAAACATTGCACATCAAAAACAAGTAATTTTTTATCCAGCGTGACTGTTTTTACGTTTTCAAACAGAATGATATACATACCATCTACAATGAATTTACTGGTATCTAAGCCGACATAGTCTAAGAGTTCAAATGGGCCCATAGGATAACCTGCCCCAAGTTTCATGGCAACATCAATATCTTCCTTTGATGCATCTCCTAGACAAAAGATTTAACCGTTGAATTGGCAGAGTTCTATCTCTCTTCTTTATTTTATTCATCCATCAAATTTATATAGCTGCCCATATCACTAAAAGTGACTCTTGTTGGTGAACAAGAATCAAGTTTATAGCACTACATAACACAACACAACTCCAAATCAAAATTATAGTAAATCAGCAGTTTTGCAGAAGAGTGTTGACTAAGACACTGCATTATTATATCACAAACCCTCCGAAACTGTGGGCCAGAGAAGCATCCAATATACAGTAGAAGCTTCTTACCCATAGTTCAAAATGGCTTCCCTTTGAGTATATTTACCTAGCTACCTATCAGTGTCTCTAACGAACAAGTCTCATGCATTGCAACGGCAAGAATAACAGTCACCAAGAAAGTGAGAATTACACAGAAACCCACTTCTAGTCTGGCATTCACTACATATGCTAAATCATCCCAATGGCAATTACTACATGGCTGATCTACAAAACCAGATATACACATTTTTCCAGGTCTGACAGTTAAAGGCTTTGTCTTCTGAATAATGGAGATATATTAATCATATTTACTTTATCATAAGCATTTTTGTTCTTTTTTTTAATGTTAACTTTCTCATATTTTACCAAATGTTGGCAGCATGTGGCCCACAAGTTTTCTACTTCAGTGAAGAAAATGTTCTCAGCAAAGTGAAATTTTGGAAAAAGCCTGTCAGCTTTTATCTATTCCACATTAAGCCATAAAACATTGCCAGTGTAATCTGACAATTAAAACATTATTTTAATTAGATGCTACCCTATTTCTTGTAACAATCATTTGAATGTATGTGTTTCAATTCCCTCTTATAAAGTATTTAAAGTCAAAACGATAGCTGGATTCAAGCACTACCATTAAATGAAGTTCAATAAATTAAAAAGTTTCAAATCAGAAAATAAACCCATCCAGTTGTGCAAATGTAATGGTTGATTAAATTTGGAATGCAACGTTTTGTGGCAATATTTTTGAGAAAAAGTTCTTTATTCAAAATCAGTCCTTTGTTTTTTTTTAAAAATCACTAATTTATTCTTATTCTGCCTTTGAGGAGTAATTAGCAATATTTGTTGATGGATAAGCAAGAAATACAGCTAATCTTGCTTCACAAGCTAAAAAACACTTATAAGATCTACAAAGGAAGCATTTAATATCTAAAATATATTTACAGGATCTTGATAATGGAAGTCTTTCATCTGTAAAGAGAGGAAAGGCTGCCTTCCAAACAAAATGTTTGAAATAATATTCTTAATAGCAGACAATCATAAAAGGGAGCTTAAT